ATACACATACATATACAAATGCAGATACAGATACAGATACAGTTACAGTTACAATAGCAACAGATACAGATACAAATAAGAATACAGTTATAGTCGCAAAACAAGCAACATGAATGGCACAATAAATAAATCGGAACAGCGTTTAAAAACAAATCCAAACGAAAGACAACAACAACAACGAGAACAAATCCAACGACTATTCCAATCGCAGAAATACACACAAAAATAAAAAGTCCGAGAAGAAAAGCACGCGCATAAAAAGCGAAATAAAATTTGCATTTTTTGTTGTTTCTTTTTTTTTTCAAGCGTCATATCAGCAGCTACAACAACAACAACAACAACAAACTATTGTATATTTATATAGAATATATATATAAGTATATATAGAGAGTAAAGCGCAGAGTCAAAGTCGCTGCGAAATGTTATCGAAATGTTATTGAACACGAAACATCATCGGCGATAAAGACGCGAACGACACAGCTGCGGGGGCGGGTTGCAGGGGGGGCGCTGACCCCGCCTCTTGTTGCGAAGATGCGTCTTGTTTTTTTACTTATGCGCATATATTTACCGGAATATACAATAACCCAAGTACCAGCCATATACATATATGTATTTATCAACAATTGAATTGTGTATAGATTCTGGATTATGCACTTTAAGTAGGGGTATTCCAGTTAGGTGAGTGCAAGTGTAACGCCTTGGGAATAAGTTAAGCTTCTTTACTTTGCTAAAGTTTACTTTGTCTTACTTTCAATCTTATATCAATCAGATAGATTGATAGATTGACTGAAGATCAATATATATTCCAAATCAGCATCAACAGCCGAATTGATCTGTCCATCTGTCCTGCTGTCTGTTATTATGCAAACTAGTCTCTCAGCTTTAAAACTCGTCTTGAAACTTTGAATAGATCCGTCATTGCAGGCAGTACATGTTGGAACTGGCCGGATCGGACCACTATACAATATAGCTGCGATAGCATCGATCGGTCGAAAACTAGTGTCTGGTATGGAAACCTTGACCTTGGCACTCGGGATTTTAAGTTCCAGTATGATCCTCATATGTATACAAAATCTTAACGGACCTGTATATGGCCTGTATATGTCATAATGTTGCTATAGCAAAGATGTGTCGATTAGGATGCTCTTTTTTGGCAAAATATTATGTTTTCAAAGATATTTTCATCAAACTCAACATTTTTGAGCTTCCCTGTTCTCACACATCTGCCTAAGTAAATGTCTACAAGGGTATTAAGTCTTCGGCGTGCCGAAAATATGCTAACTTGGTCATAAAAATGTATGTTAAATAGATATTAATTAGGAAATAAAAACACATGACACGTACAATGCCAGGTAATAGCTGATATTATATATACATCTTATTAGATACAATCTTTTTGTTTATATCTCATGATATCTGAGCTATTGTTTCTGATGAAAATTGACGGCATTAAATGAAAATAGGAATAATAATGTAATAACAATAATTAAATAATTACAAGACGTTTCATTCCTTTTACAAGCCATACAAATTGTTGCCCAAGTCTTTGTTTTTTTGTGAGAAACTTTTCCGTTTACAAGCAAACTCTTATATGTTTAATCAATGCTGCTCGAAATTTGGATGGGGCAGCTATCTTATCAGTAAATTGGCATATTCAAGTCAAAACTGGGCATGTCGAGTCAGTTTATCATTTGAATGCGAGAGAAGCTTACCTATACATAGATCATTTTGTGGCTTGTATATAAATATATATATATATATATACATATTTATCATATAATTAACCTACTTGCCATAAACGCAAGAGTATTTAATTGTTCACACTTGAGAGCGTTTTTTTGCCTTGGCTTTTTTTTCTGTTCTTTTTTATTTGTCTTTTCTACAAACTTCGTTTGCGATTTGCCACTTGGCTGAGGCGCGTTAACATTTATTTTTACTGTTTGCCTGGCTTTTTATACGCTTTTAATCAGATACAAAGTGAACTTTTTCTACTTGTTTTGTTTTTATTATTTTCTTCTTCTGCATAAGTAAATACACAGAGAGAAATACAAATACAAATATAACAAAATATATGTGTTTTCAATGCCAGCTGCCGTTGTCAACGTTGCGTATGAGCGACGCATTCTGACTCATGCGATCTCTTTTTTATCTGCCAGCCAAACTCGCTCTCTCTCTCTCTCTCTCTCCCTCCCGCTCTCCCTCTCTCTCGCTCTCTGTTCACTTGCTGCTGTGCACATCACAAATCATTTTTATGGCGCTGGTCTTTCATTTGGCTTTTAAATGTTCGTGCCCATTTGATTAAACCCCCTCCCTCATCTCACCGCACATCCCCCTCCACTCCACGCCCACCGACTCCCTTTATCCATCGTTTATCTCATTTCTTTTATATCTCTTGCCCTGTCTTCGCTTCGCATTTCCATTTCCTTATCGTCGTATCAATAAATTAATTCGAAAACTTTGCCGCTTCCATGTCGATTGAGTTACCCTGCCCCTCCCCCCCCCTCCCATCCCAACCTCCGCCCCTTCCTGCCTTTACCAACAGCCCTACGCACCCCTCGCATACCACAGCCCCGTTTGTTTTACTTCTTCTTGTACTTTTTTTTTTTAATTTTTCGTGCAAATTTCTTTCATTTTTCTTCACTCGCTTTTTTATGCTTTTTGCGCTCCTCATTCGACTCGTATCTTGTATCTGTAAGTTTGCCGAGTAATTTGTGCCTCTTCTTCTCTTTCTTTTTTTTTTTTGGAGGGAGGTGGGGGGGTTATCAATCGACAACGACAAGCACAGTGCGGCAGTCGTGCGACCCCCCTCAAAGCCCACTATTTAGCCACGCCTCTGTCTTTCTGTCTCTCTGTCCCTCTGTCGCGTCTCTCGCCATTTTTGGCTATTGAATTGGTTTTCGTGCTCATGCATTTTATATGAAATTGTCTGCATGTCTGGCACTGAGTTGTTTTTTTTTTTTTTGGGTGCACTGGCACGCCCCCAGCCATGGCAAACCGCCCCCACTTAATGGCACCGAAAATAGTCGGGCAACTGCCTTACAAAATGTTTGGCGCTGCAATTAGTGGACAACATTCGTTAACCAACACTGGCAAATGGAATGCAGGTATCTAGAGCTAACTGCGCCGCTTATCTTTATTGCAACAGGACTCGAGGCTGAGGGGTGGGGGTTTGCGCTGGGTCGCTCACAAAATGTGGGTGCCACAAAAAGTAACGTTAGAGAACATGTTGCATAAAATTGTAGCAAAAGGTTCATCTTTTTTTTGTTTTTGTTCGTTTTTTATGCTTCTTTTTTTTTCTTCTTTCAACCATTTGAAGTAGAATTTTAATCCATGGTTTTTTAATGCGGGCGATAAACTTTTACTACAATTGTCGACAACCTAACTGTACTTGGGTGTTGGTGTGTGTTTGTGTGTGTATGTGTGTGTGTGTGTGTGTGTGTGTGTGTGTGTGTGTGCGAGTTGGCAGACAACTCTGGTTAGCTCGCTCGACTGGCTCGTTCAGGTGCTACAGTTTAATTATGTGACGTCGTCGTCGTCGTCGTCGTCGTCGTTGGCGTCGACGTTTTCGCTTAATGTTTTAATTAAATGTTTTATTAGCACGCTTCTGGGGCACGCCCCGTATGTGTGTGCCTGTCTGCATGTGTGTGTGTGTGTGTTAACGTGCCCCCTTTTTGTGTTGCCTCTATGGGTAGCTGCCTGTTAAACTGCAAACAAGCAGCGACTTTTATGTTGATTTGAAAGCGCATTTGATAGTTTAATTGGTTTTGGGAATTAGGATTTATATATACACCAACTAGTTATATTTACAAGCTTAAGTGTGTGTAGAACATTGTCAGAGATTCCAAAGTGACGAAGAAAAAAAAACGTACAAGCGCATAAAAACGCTGCTTTTTATTATTTTTGCATAGCAAATTAGTTGAGCATTTGAATCAATCATGACTAATGGAAAAACTATGCTATATAGAGCTATAATATGTGTGCTTTTTGGGCATTTGCATAAACCTCCAAAAAGCTGAGTAACTAGCTCTTAATATTTCTCTGATTATTATTTTTATAGAGGCTAAAGTATAGAGAATCTAACTTTATTAACAACACTGGCTTACTACGGTCTTTGACTTAACCAACACTGCTCAATTCTCTACAGTCGACTGGAATTTGAGCCAGGAATCTGGTTCTTCAGTTGCCTGAAATACTGGGTCAATTGGTCAAACGCATCTTCCAACAACTGATATTCTACTGAACTTCATTCAGTTTATATTCAAGTGCGTATTAAATGTTAGCTACAAAGGTTTTTTTTTTCAACGGAGTAAAGAATTAATCTGAGTTTTCTACTGAATATACTCGTTTTAATTCTCAAGAATCGTCGTAAACTCTTAAAAACAACAATTGCAATGAAATGAATTTCTTCAAATTTGAGTTGTAAGCAATTAAAAAGTTTTCGCATAATATTTTCAGTTTTAACTACCGCAAAATGGGATAATGATCAAAAATGGTCTATTCCCTTTTCAGTTCTCAGATTGTGTGCTCAGCTTCCAAATTCAAACGATTTTAATGGGTTTTAGTTCTCAACTTTCAAATAATGCAGATTTCTGTAAACTGTTTTTTCCAGAAATTAATTTAATCAAAATGTATAAATATATATATTTATATGCATATATATATGTATGCATATAACAAAATTGTTATCTAATTTTTTGTTTATATTTTTCAGACAATTCGAAAAATGCTTTTTGTACAGATTTGATCATTTAATTTGCAAGAACTTTGTCTTATTTGTGGATTTAAGAAAAATAGGCTCGTGTTAAAGATATCATGGTAATATTTGTTCATTTTTTATATAATTTTCGAATTAATGGCATGCAAAAGACGAAACTCTTATAGTTTACTGCATAATAATAATATTTAGCATAATTTTATGAAGAATTCTGGGAGGTTGTCAGTTTTTGTCCCAATTATATTAGACATATATTTTCCAAGTCTTAGCTTAGTTTCAGGCTTACCTATTTGAGGCATATGTTGTCAGCTCCGTTTGTACGTTTTCTTATTGCTTTTAACTGTTTATAAATGGAGTATAGAGAGGGTATATGGAGAGTATATCGGCACTCTTGCGGGCTTTGTTTTCTGGCCCCATTCATGCGTGTTGCAAGTCTTTTATCTGGCATCATTTTACATTCTTTTTCATCAGGCTTAAAGGATGAACCAGTGTTGCAAGAGGGTGTGCATGTGTGTGCAAGTGTGTGCGTGTGTTAAGATGGCTGCTGCTGGCTTGGGCCATGTTGTGTGTTTGCTGCGGCCAACAAATCAACATCCGGTTAGCTGATACGACGCACAGCAGCCAGGCACAAACATTGCACATATGAAATTTATACTGTGCCCGCTCTCGCTCGCTCGTTGGCTCTTGCCCACTCTTTCTCTTCGTCGCTCTCACTCTCGCCCTCTCTGTCTCGCTCCCTCTCCCTCTCGTTGTCTGGGCAAGTTAACAGGCCGGCGGCGGCCGCATTTGATAACTGTAGCTGCTAACTGCTAGCTGAAGCCGCGTGTCTGTGTGTCTGTGTGTGTGAGTTGTCTGGCCGGCCTGCTGCTGTTTGTTGTCTCTCTTCATATTAGAGTGTGCGTGTGTGTGTGTGTGTGTGCGTCTGGCGATAGTCAAGTTTATTTTATTTTTATTTTTTTTTTTTGCACAAGCAGCGCGTTTGCTTTATTTTGGCGTCTTTGTGTTTTTTTTAACTTTATTGCTTCGAATGTTCACTGAGGCACTTTGGAGCACTGCTTTGTGTTTGTTGCTTAACACTGTCTAACTAACTGTTCGTGTTTGTGTGCGTGTGTGTGTCTTTGGCATTTTATGACATTTGAAACGCAGTTAAGAAGGAGCTGGCAGCTTTTGACGACCGGCACAGACGAGACGCGCAGCACGAATGAATGAAGTTGGCGAACCAACGACATGGCATAGCATACAGCAGCCTCTGTCGCTGTCGCTGTCGCTGCGAGCAGTAGCAGTAACAGCGGCAGCAGCAGCACACACGACGCGACACGAGCAAACGAGCACGTTTGGCGCTCTCTCAAGCGCTCTCGCTCACGCGTGTAGGTCGTCTAGAGGCCGTTGGGGCTGCCATCTGTTTGCCTTGTTTCTCTGTGGGCAACATTACGCTCTCACGTTAGCAAAAATTACTTTGCTCTTGCCGTTTAACTGCAAATCAAAGTCGAGGTCGTTGTACGAATGAAAGAATGTCGGCATGTGCTTGTTGTTGTAGCGGTTACAGTCGCGCTGCTGGCGTCGCTGTTACTGTTGCTGTTCGCGTCGCTGCCGTTGCCGATGCCGCTGCCGATGCCTCTGCTGCTGCTTTGATGTTTAATGCTTGCTGCGATCCGCCATTGTTGTTGTAACTGTGCCTGCCTCATGCAGTTCTGCTGCATTATGCTGCTTTTGTCTGTTGGTGTGTGTGCTTTCTCTCTCTCTCTCTCTCTTTCTCTTTCTCTATGAATGTGTATGTATGCTCGGCATGCCTTAACTTGACTTTCTTTTGAATAATGTTGCTTCATGCTTTCACAGTCTTGTTCTTCATCTGCCTGCGTCCGTCCGTTCGTTCGTTCGTATGCCTCTCTGTCTCTCTGTTCGTCGTCTGTCTGTGCATTTGTCTGCTAGGCAAAAATGCTGTTACTTTTTATGTGCACTCTCTCACTCTGCCGCACACCCCTTCCCCGCCCCATTCCGTTGCTGCCAACCAGCCAGGCACTCCTTTTGGAATTTTGCTAGACGTTTTTTTTTTTTTGCTAACTTATTTTTTTTTTTTACTTCTTTTTTAATACATTTTCGGCTAACGGTTTGCGGGCTGTCTTGTTTTTTTTTTTTGGTTTGTTTGTGCGCCGCTTTCGCGCGTTTGTAATAAAAACTCGTTATAAGTAGAAATTCTTTAGCTCATTTTTTTTGCGCTCTTTTAAGCTCTCGTGTTTTTATTTCTATTTTTTTTTCTTTTCGTTGGACTCACCTGCGACCCTGCCCCTCTCTTGGTCTTGGCACACTCATCTATTTCCATTTTTTAAGCACTCTTTGCGGCCACTTTTCTATATTATGATATCCACACCAGCCCCCCCCCCGCCCCCCGCCGACCCTTGCGTGCTGCTGTTCCATGACAAATGTGAGAACCGCTTTTGGCTAAAAAGCTTCGCCGAGGCGGTGGCTTAGAAGTTTGCTCGACTGGTGAACGCCCCCCCACACACCAACACACCAACACACACACACACACCTTAGAGGTAAGCAATCCCCACTCCCCCGTCCATCCCTCCCGCACAGCAGCCCGCTAGAGCCCAGCAGCAAGTCAATTATTAGGCCAGTTGGCAAGCTAATTTGCTTATCAGCAAATGCAATTGCGCGAAAAGCGCCCCCCCCCCCCCCAACCCCATGGGGGTCAAAGGGGGGAGAGGGGCCCGTAAAATGCGCGCCAAATAACATTGTCATTTTGCAACAGCCGCTGATAAGGGCTTCTCCCCTCTAGCCACACTCTCCTCTAACACCATTTCACACACTCATACACACACACACACACACACACACACACACACACACACACACTTCCTCTCTCTCTCTCTCACACACACACACACACGCTATTTCACTATCTTTTACATTTTGCAAAAAAAAAAAAAAAAACTTGAAATTAGTTTCGAGTTGCCAAAAAAAAAAAGTGCAAATCACGCTCGTGCAGAATGGGGGAAAAGGGTTCAAAGCTGGACGCGAAATATTCATCCAAGTCGTAGCTCCCAGTTCCAGTCGAACTATTTAACACCATTTATCGCTCGATGCAAACAATGGACAGAAGTACAGGGTGTACAGCATGATTGGGCGCAAAAAATGGAATAATAATAAAATAAATAATAGTTGCTTGTGGTCTTTGACCTTCTTGGCGGATATTACCAAAAGAGTGTTGGACAGCGTAAGAATAAAAGATCTTGAATATTATGCAGAGTAAATCATAGGAGTGTTATTTCAGTTCAAATTTCAGATGAAACCTTAAATTACAGAAACCTTATTAATTGCAAAAATTTGTGATTTTTGACTAAGGCTTAAAGTCAAAAAAATTTCAGATATCTTTACTTGAGCTTGATTTTACCATATTTATATATATATCAATGACAATTTGTGGAGAAACTATATTTGTGGAGAAAATATATATTTAAAAACAGAGCGGATTTGAACCCAGCTAGTTCGAACCCGCAACTTTAAATGAATTTCAACGCGAACAAATTCTAGGAGCGACCCCGTAGCCGGAAGAAAGGAAACTCATTTTGAAGCTATGTTGATAACAATTTGTCTTAAACAACATGAAATATACGTATATTTTTTAGAAGTTAGTCCAATTTGGTAACTTAAGATCGAATCTTTACTAAACTAAAACATAGTCTATTCCCTTTAAAGCCCATGCATATAATACTAGTGCCGTTTCCTTTTGCCCAAAACTTCAAGTTTCAATCATTCGATTCGCGGCGCCCATTCACGGTCGCATAGCGGTAATACATACATATATCATATCAAAACAAAACAGATCAGGTTGAATGCAAATATCGTATTCGTAATGCTCACCTGTCGTCGGGGGCCTTCCATATGAAGTGTATTACATGCAGGAATTTCCAACGATTGCAGTTTCATTACTTTTATATTTTTGTTGTTTTCCAGTCTATCATTTCGTTATATATTTTGTTTAAATGGCAAAACGACGCGACGTAAAAGTGGAAAATGGATTTACGGCGAATTGATAACAAGGCCTCGCGTTACACGGCTTGTGAGGAGTCAAATACATACATAAGTACATAGATTCTATATATGTATGTATGTGTGTGTGCATACATATTTGTATATAGTATTTAATAATATTGATTTAATTTTTGTTCACTCGCCTCGAAATTTTGCTGATCACCAAAAATTTGTAAAATTTCTTTTGTCAACTTTTTGCGCTGAGTTGGCAACACTTGAGAAACGTCTAACTGTGTATGTGTGTGTGTTTGTACCGTTAGATGTGGCGTGCAGTGTGCGTATGCGCAACGTTTCGCAACTCAAACGCAACGCAGAGCTGCCCAGCTGTCGACCGTTGCGGCTGAGCGGCCAAACTCGACTGCTAGGAAAGTGCGACAGCGTCTGCGACTGTGGCTGCCTCTGCTGGTATTACTGCTATTGCTGCGACTGCGGCTGCGGCTGCTGCTGACTCTGCTGCGTTGAACTGGTTGAACTGCACTTGTCGCCGCTGGGCAACCGCAGCTGGCGAATGTTGCGTTTCGACTGAACGCCAACTAGTCGGGGACTTGCCCAACGAGAACTGCTGTGTGCAAGCAAAAGCAGCGACGCAGCAGCGACGTCCGCCCAACAGCTGGTGAAGGTGAAGGTGGGCCGCAGCGCAGACAAACGACAAACGAACAACCGTGACGCCAATCAATGAGAGCGAGAGAGAGCACAGTGCTGCGTCGGCGCGCTGCTGCTACTGCTGCTGCAGTGCCAAGTGGCGAGGCCGAGCATTGGGCGCCAGACGATGACGACGATGGCGACGACGTCGACGTACCGTTGAGTGCATTGGCATAGTAAACTTTGCACGAGGCGCCGACGTCGCCTGCAGTTACTAAGTTACAAGCAGTGTGCGCGCGAGACAAGGAGAAAGAGAGAGAAATAGAAAGGGAGAGATGGAAAGAGAGATAGAGAGAGGGAGAGAGAGAGAGAGTGCCAGACGAACTCTCATTTGCATTGTAGTTGTAACCGAATGCCGTTAGATGCGCCGCACTTGACGCTCGTTGCTCATCAACAAGTCAGCGACTGCGACGACGACTGCGACGTCAACGTCACTTACAACAAAGGAATTCCCCCAAAATTGGCAGCGCTGCCTCCAACTTTGGGCCTATTACTGCGGTCAGCGCAACCAGCTGCACATAAATCATATGTTAAATGAAGAGATAATAATTAAAAATATTTTAAAAATACAAAAAATATATATATATAGTATATATACAGAAAGCCAGACGAAGAGCGCGAAAGAGAGGCCATTTAGTGTGTGAGCGCTGAGTCGGCAGCGGCGTCTGCTGGCGCCAACAGCGGAAGTAAACGGAAAGCTTCAATTTAGCCGGCATTTTGCAGTGCATCCGTTCGGCTGAGCAGCGACCGAGGCGACGCAGCCCAGCTCCTTTGGGGGTGGTCGCCGCAAAGAGCGCGA